GTATAAAACTTATAAAAATATATGTTTGTTTTGAAAGTTTCAAGACATATTATTTTAAAAATCTAATTTTTATTATGAAAAACATCATATTTGCCATCATTACCACTAAAAATCTATTAAACAGTAACTGATTCACTAAGTTTCTTCCAACTACATGTTCTTTTCTTTTGCAAAGTTACATATCCAATCATAATGGTTGTAGAAGAAGCTAAAGAAGATTAAAAATTTGAGTTTACTTGAAGATATGTATTTACGATAGTTATTTATTGACTGGACCATCTTCAACCTCCATTTCTTGTGACCACATGTGATCGTCGACGTCATATCTTACTTTTTTCTGTTATTGGTAGCTTGAAAATGGTAAAGATATAACTAGACAAAACGTGTATGAAATGTTATCCATTTAACAATATCAAAATCAAAACTACTTTCTTAATTTTAACTTTAAAATAGGCGACAAATTTTCCCTTAATTTAATGGGGGTAATGAAATTTGTATATAGGGATTCCTATTTTCGTTTAAGAGGCATTCCAAGACAGAAGAAGCAATTTGGTTTTGAAACCCGGTTATTGCATAATTTATAATAAAAGTTAGGAAAAATCGCATAAAAAACCTTCAAAGTGAAACTTACTAGCACTTTAAACCTTCAATTTTTTCACTAGCACTTTAAACCTTCAAAGTGATATTTGTGTCACAAAAAACCTTAAACTTGAAAATCTGACATATTGAACAGGTAAAACAAGTCATTTATCAAGTTTTTTAGAAAAATAAATATTTAATAAATAAAATTTTAATAAATAATCAAAAAATGAATAAAAATCAATTAAATTTTCAAAAAAATTAAAGAAAATTTCAGAACATAAATAAAAATTTATAAAAAATAATTTCAAATACCAAAAATTAAATAAAATTCTAAAAATTAAAGAAAATTCACAAAATTGAATAAAAATAAATAAAAATCAAAAACTAAATTACATTTTTTTAAATTAAAGAAAATTTCAGAACATAAAGAAAAATTTTAAAAAAATGAAAATTGTTTGAAACCATCATCCTCAATAGTGATATATTTGAAATTTTTATTCTCAACTATAATATTTCAGATTTTTGAAAAAGAAATCTTGTAATTTTTATGCAATTTTCTAATAAAATTGACTTATCATCGTTGACAAAAAAAAATTTCAAACACATCACTGTTGAAGTTGATGGTTTCAAATAGTTAAAAACATAATCTTGTAATTTTCAAAAAAATATTTTGCAATTTTGAGTTTTCAATTTTGTGAATCTTCTTTAACTTTTGTTTAATTTTCTGAATTTATTTAATTTTTGGTATTTCAATTTAAATTTTTTATAAATGTTTCTTTATGTTCTGAAATTTTCTTTAACTTTTTTTTTAAAATTCAATTGTTTTTTATTTATTTATGATTATTTATTATATTTTTATTTAATAAATATTTATTTATCTGAAAAACTAATAAATAAAATAGGTAATTTATCAGTTTTTTTCTGAGAGATAAATATTTAATAAATATTAATTTAATAGAAAAATCAAATGAATTTTCAAAAAAGTTCAATTTTGTGAATTTTCTTTATTTTTTTGTTTAATTTTCAGAGTTTTATTTAATTTTTGGTATTTGAAATTATTTTTTATAAATTTTTCTTTATGTTCTGAAATTTTCTTTAATTGTTTTTGAAAATTAAATTGATTTTTATTCATTTTTATTATTATATTAAATTTTTATTTATTAAATATTTATTTTTCTAAAAAACTTAATAAATGATTTGTTTTACCTGTTCAACATGTCAGATTTTCAAGTTCAAAGTTGTTTGTGACACAAATGTTACTTTGAATGTTTGAAGTGCTAGTGAAAAAACTTCAATGTTTAAAGTTATAGTAAATGTCACATTGAAGGTTTTTTATGCGATTTTCCTATAAGAGTTATGAAGCTACCACAATGGGCTCAACCCGGTTTACATGAAGCAATTTGGTTTTGCCTCAACTTTTCTATTTAATATTTGGGCTTACTTACATTATGTCAACAAATTAGGTGGGAAAAAAAAAACTTGACCTAAATTTGTGGGTTATAAAACCCTAACCCTTATGAATGTGTGGAATATACGCTAAAAACGCACCTGAAGAAACAGAGTAGAACGAAGGGTCTTTGTGTATTCTAGGGAAAGTTCCCATATTCTGTTAATTTGTTATTGGCGAAGAGGAGAAACGACAATGGAGTAAGTCAAAATTTGTTGCAACTTTCCATATAATATATGTACACCAACAATAAACTTGTATTGATTATATAACCTAAGCTAAACTGATCGATTTATGTGTTGTCGGGACAATTTACATAGAATTAGAGTTTTGCTTTAACAAATAGTCTCGTAATGTTTTTCATCGTCATAACAAACTACTTATATAAGACTCTATAATGGTAACAATTAATTTTTCTTAGCATAAGGAAAAATTTGGGATTCATGAGATCATTATCATGAGCTATCTTAACTTTTGCAGAGAGGTAATGTTGAAGCCCAATGAAGTCGTACCCGAGCTTGATAGTGTTCCCGATGATACTCAGGACTCGTTGAGTACTACCAAAGATAATGAACAAGAAAAACTCCTTTCTGGTCCACCAAATAGATGTCCCCGCTTTGGTTGGTTACGTAGGATCTTCTCTCGTTCGAAGCGACCAACTCCTATTCCAGATCCAGATAAAATCAACTCTAATGGGGAACGGATGTTCAACATATGGCGTTACAGTGAGGCTTTGGAATTCTACGATCGAGCAATAGAGCTCTCACCTAAGAATGTGACTTATCTCAACAATCGAGCAGCTGCATTATCGAGATTGAGACGGACTAGGGAAGCTCTGAACCAGTGGGAGGAAGCCGTAAAGCTGGATCCAAAATCTACACAGGCTCGTCACGGTTTAGGAATGTCTCTTCTTAGGTAGACTGATTTCTTTCTTTTTTTACTGAAAGAGATTTAATATAATCTAATCTAATCTAATCACTAACTTGATTCTTTGATTTGGTGATTGTAGTTTAGGTCACGTCCAGGAAGCGATGAAGCTTGTGGAGGAAGCATCATATAATGAACGCGACATGCAGAAAGTTAAACAAGTACAAACACACTTGAACACATGCATTAATGCAAGAAGACGCAGTGAATGGACTAGTACTTTGACGGAAGCAACTGCAGCTATGGTTTCAGGAGCTTATGCATCTCCTGAGGTAAAGAATAACCCCTTTTTGTGTTTAATTGTTTTTTCTTACCTTTCACCAAAAGTAACAATATTTTTTAAGTGAGAGATTCTAGTTGAGCTAGAGACACTCCCATGAAGATGAGAATGAAATATATACTATTTTTTCTTTTTTTCAACACTGCAGCTAGCTATGTGTAGAGTTGAAGCACTTGTAAAACTCAGCCGGGTTGATGAGGCTCATGCAGCACTAGAAGAAGCTCTCCCCAAATTAGAACTATTCCCAGCCTCTTTCTCACTTCCACAGACTCGGTTTTTCGGTATGATATGTCAAGCCTACATATTGTTTGTCAAATCACAAATTAATTTGGCTTTAGAAAGGTGAGATTCATTTTTAGAGATTACTTTGTTTCTCCTTTTATGTTGGATAAAGATAGTCATATAACGAATTCTTATAGGTACAAAGATGCAGCTGAAGATGCTGCCAAAGCTTTAGAGATTGAGCAACATAACGTTGATATTAAAATTTTCAAGAAAAATGTTGAATTGATTCAAAGGGCTCTGTCATCCAGCAAGGTAAAATATAGATAGTGTGACTAATTAGTTTTTTTTTTTTTTAAAAAAAATTCTTCCACTTGTTCTTTATAAGCTTTTTTCATGTGAAACTGTAGCTGGAAAAATGGGCTGAAGCAGTGACAGATTATGAGATCGTACATCAGGCACTTCCATACGATAAAGTCATTGCTAATTCTTTTTCTCAAGCTCAAATTGCACTGAAGCAATCTCGCAGCGAATTACTTCTAAACATGGAATCTGCTGGTGGTGTTAAAGAGATTTCTAGTTTTGAAGAATTAAAAGCTGCATTGGCTCGTCCCGATCAGTCTGTAAAGATTATCTACTTTTAGAATCAGAAAATTTTCCCTATTAAGTATGCTTAAATAGTAGAAACTTATTGGTTTTATTTTTATTCTTAATTTTGTTTTTGCTTAAATATAAAAAAAAAAGTTAAAATAAGAATTTTTTTTATAATGTGATTTATTATGACATTACATTTATGAAAAAGATTACATAGACGACGATAACCAACAATACTACTTCCCTTATAAAGATCCACGCCTAATGCATCATCTGAACCGTCTTATGAAGATCCACTCCTGATCAGATTTACTTAAACCATGTTGAAGAATTTTTGTAATTCTTTCTCGCTGTAGTTAATATTAATAAATTGTTTCTCTCTGGGATTTGAAACCTGAATTTCTTGTAATCTGCAAAAAAAAAATGTATAGTTTGAAATTTGGAATCTCATGAAGAATATATAGAAGCCTTTAAACTTTAACTAATAGGATACGGTGCTTCCACAAATAAGAAATTTTTTAGTAGGAGAGACTTAGCTTTTTATTCTTATTCTTACTTTTTTAAAGGAGGTTTTACAAAAAAAAAAAAAATCAATTTCTTAAGGATTGATTGGTTAGGAGGCCATACTTGAGAAAAGCTTAATTAAAACAAACATAGCATTTTCGTAAATCCTAGTTACTGAGTAGGGATCCGAGTGACATTCATCCACCAAGTTTAATACTTCAGCTTCATGATCTTTTGCGTGTGAAACAGAATGAACTGAAGCTGAGCGACTGCAAATTTTCTTATGATTGTAGTTGCGAGGATTAGGAAAATTGGCGAGCGTTAGAGGTTCCTCTTAATAATAAACTATTTTGACCCGCGCTTGAAAGCGCGGAAATTTTTTATGATTAAAAATTTATGTAATTTAGTTTTGTCTTAATTTAAAGAATGTTTTGGGATAAAATTAGTTCACGAAAATTTGTGGTTATCATTGTTATTCATTAGTTTTTAGTTTCAGTTTTTATTTTAGATTTTGTTTTAGATTTTGGTTTTTTGGTTTTTAGTTTTTAAGTTTCTATTTTTGATTTTCAGCTTTTGGTTTGGGATTTTAATTTTTTGTTTTGTCTTAAGTTTTTTGGTTTTTAGTTTGAACTGATATTACTAACAAACAAATCTCAAATAATCAAACATCTAATTTAAAACTGAAAAGATGACAAAAAAAATTTTAAAGAAATTTGTAATAGTTTATTTTGTAAATAAATAAAAGAAAAAAAATATAATCTGTTTTTTAGTTTTTGGTTTTGGATTTTAGTTTTTAGATTTGTTTTTTGGTTTTGCTTTACATTTTTTTCTAAATCAGTAAATTATTTAAGATAAATAAAACAATAAATTATTTAAAAGTTACCATTGAAATTTATCAAAACAAAGTGATTGTTATTTAAAATTAAAAAATACATTAACATGTTTTAAAGTACATGATTTAAATAAATAATTAATAATAGACAATCTTGTTTTGTTTAAAAATATTAAATACCTTTTGGGCTTAAAAATAATAACTGATTTTTTTATGCATTAAGGTGAAAAGTTTATTCAATGTTTTTTGGAGTTTTTCCTTAATACTAAGCCCAAAAACCAAACCATATAATTTGTTCTAAATAAGCCCAAGACTATATCACATAAATAACCATCGGTTTAATTTAAGTAATGCGGTTCAATTAACTATATGACTTGTATTTTTTGTAACACTCTAGAAATGGTCCAAATTTAAATGATAACTTGCATCAGTAGATAAAAAGAATGATTATTTTAATAGAGTAGATAGATTTTGATTAAAAATATATTTATTAATTGTAGGATTGTATTTTGAGTGACCTACTTAAAAACTGATAAGAATGATAATTTGTAAAATTTAACTGGCATGGGTTAAAAATATGGATTGTGGATTTAAAAATAAATTTAATAATGGAATATTTTAAATAAACTATAGAAAACAATATTTTACAAGTAAAATATTTTAAGTGTTAGAGGTTCCGCTTAATAATAAATTAATGATGTCAATCATTTATATATTATAAAATATTAAAAATTATATTATTATAATAAATATAAGATTAATTTTCAAAATTATTTTTAGTAGTGCATGTATTAATATCTAAATAATTATTATAGCAAATATTTTTGTTTAAAGTTTTATAAGCGGTTATGATAGAATCAGATACTTCCCCTCTAATAACCGATTAGACTAACAACATTTGAACATATATATATAAGTAAAATTTCATGGGCTATACTCACTCAGGAGTGGAGTTTTAAGTTAGCACCCAAAGAAGGATCAAGATTCCTAGCTTTGAGCTCTCTATATTCTTGACAAAGAGAACAATAGGAGCATAAGACATGAGTGACACAATCCGAATATGGAGCTTCCACAATATTGAATCTTCTCTTCATTTTTTCCCTATACTTTGATCCCATCACCTTTTGTGAGCACAAAGCCGGCATTATCAACAAGTATATGAAACTCCCGAGAGGACAAGCTGCATAAACAATTATGCTTCTAGATAGGAAATAAATATGAATACTAAGATTCACAAATAGATAAACTGTGTTTAAGTTAAAACTGCTCTTGATGTCTTAAATTTTTATATGAAATGATTGATTTGCTTACTAGAAACAGCAACCAAAACCCACAACATAGTATTTACAGGTTCAGCACAGGAACATGAACCAGAGATAACAACATCTATCATGTCACAAACACAAATCATCTCAGAATATCACACGCCTTTACTGCGTTACTGGCCAAGTACATCCGCTACTGATTTCTTGATAATTTGGGATAGCTCCTCTCTGAATACAAAGAAGCAGCGAAATAGATTAAAAAAGACACTTCATTCGGTTTCAAGAACAACATTTGATATGAAACTTATCTTTTAATCAATCGGAATTCTTAAAAGCTAACTTCAGTTCAGTTACGGTATAAAAAAACAATGAATCGTGTTTAAATGAGGATTTAAATTACCTGTCGGGTTTGAACAAAAGATATCGATATGTGAACCACTGCCAAAAACCAAAGATTAAGTTATATGACTTAAAAAGAATAATCCATATGTTCTTGTTGATATGATCTCAGAGCTTACTTACCATAGAGAACAAGATACCAACTAGTTCAAACCCAGAGGAGATAACTGGCAGTTTGTCGATTGCCTAGTGAATAAAAAACAATATTTTGTGAAAAAAAAATCTTAGAAAATATAGAACCAAGAAAGGGTAAGTGTTTTATACTATACCGTGATTATGTTAAGTGAAGCCCAAAGAGCTACAATGCCAGCAAAACTCAAACCAATAAGACCTAAACGATCTTCAGACTTATCCCACTGAAACAATTTACATTCCAAGAAACCAAATAATAAATCAAAACTAAGGCATATATGTGTGTTTAAATAGAGCAGAGAGTCTTAAATACTTACAACATTCTGAATTGAACTAATGACGTCAAGATCAGTAGATGATTCTGAACTTTTACCACTAGCTTTCACCATAAGAGCCATGCTAGGGTTTCTTCTATCTACAAGGAAGCTCGAAACTGAGAAACTTGATGATCTCCTATCAAACAAGTAAGAAGTATGAATCTTTACCTCGAGTAAGAGAAAATGGGAGTTTCTGAATTGATGTGAGGTTAGGTTTTCTCTGAGTGAGCAACAATGGTGGAGGCAAAGTTGCAGACACCGACGCCATTTTAGAGATTTTTTTCGTTAATCTGAGGAAGAAGAGACCGTCCAAGTAATTGTTATTGAATAGCAAGAAGGAAACAACTTTGAGAAGTTTTAGATAGCCTTATCTTCCTCTATTCCACGTGGCATCTCAACAGTGGCATAAAAATCTATTAGATGAAAACCCATTTCGCCACGTGTCAGAACATGATCCATGAAGTAGATTCTCTAGCAGTCTAGCTATACAAATTAAGCCAACAACAAGAGATAAGTCTTTTATTGTGTGTTGATCATCTAAGAAACATGGCATCTTTTGCAACCATCGCCGCTGTTCAACCATCCTCCGCCGTGAAAGGTCTCGGAGGAAGCTCTCTCACCGGAGCAAAGCTCTTCATCAAGCCTTCTCGCCAAAGCTTCAGACCCAAATCCACAAGGTATATTAAAACGCTTCATATTTAGAATATTGGATTGAGATTATAACGAGAATGTTTCTTTTGGGTTAGAGCTGGTGCCGTGGTGGCCAAGTATGGAGACAAAAGTGTTTACTTTGATTTAGAAGATTTGGGTAACACAACAGGACAATGGGATTTGTATGGATCTGATGCTCCATCTCCCTACAACCCACTTCAGGTTTTGTTTTTTGAAACCCTAAATATATCATATATGCTACTTCAAATTCTGAGACAATGATTGTGACTATGAGAGTTTGCTTGCAGAGCAAGTTCTTTGAGACATTTGCTGCTCCTTTCACAAAGAGAGGTTTGCTTCTCAAGTTTTTGATTCTTGGAGGAGGCTCTTTGCTTACTTATGTCAGTGCTTCCTCCACCGGCGAAGTTCTTCCTATCAAGAGAGGTCCTCAAGAGAAGCCTAAGCTCGGCCCTCGTGGCAAGCTTTAAATTAGCTTTCTAAATCCCTTGAAAACATCAGAAACTTTCTTCCCAAGTCTCTGAACTCCTGTTGTTACTGATCTATGTATATTGTCTTGTGTTAATTGCTTTGCATTATCAATGAAAGAATTGCATTTCAAGTCTGCTACAACACAATGGTGCTCTCTTCTTTTTTTATCATTTGAATCATGGACATCAAATTGCATTTCAAACCTAATTTTACAAGATTTGTTTTCAAGAGTATCTTGCCGTTGGACTCCTCATAGTTCCAAGATTATCAAGATAAGAACTCTTTTTGTTAGTTGTCATAATACCTGTGACTTTAGACAACAATGGTTTCTCTTTATCTCCTCCAAAAAAGCTTTCTTTCTTCACTTCATTGTTTTTGTTACCCCATTGCATAACATCTGAAAGTGATGTCCCTGAAAGCCTTTCCTCTGAGAAGCTAATTCTTTCCTCCTTTGGTTTCTCGACCTCTTTCGCAATATATCTATTCTTAGACGTTGCATTTGTAGGTTCTTGAGTAAGCTGATCAGCGTATAGCACGTCTTCTATTCTTGACATCACCGTGTGAGCCAAACTCTCAAGCACTCTTGAGTAACTCTCTAGTATAGCAAGCCCTACATCCTGCAAAACAAACCAAAACCCTAATATTCAGAAAGGTCAAAATAGCAATTCCTAACATCTTATAAGGTTTCATTTTGTTTACTCTGTTGCATTGGATCTTGGTGATATCGAGTGTGGATTGAGAGATTCCAGGAAATCCTAGTTTCAAAAGAAGCAAGATTGTTTCAGCTCTTTCTTCAAACTGTTCTCTCTTCTCAGTACTCACTGTTGAGCCCCAAGAAGATTTTGTGTCTTTCTGCACCATTTTCCTCTTCCATATCACAATCGATGCTTCGATTCTGTTCTTTAGGTCAAGAATCTTGTGCTCAGATGATAAATCCATTTCAATCAGGAACTGGTCTGCATCAAACACCTCTACTGTTATCATTTTGTATATCACATCTCCCAAGCTAGCTTTCCCATTCTGTTCGCGAGAAAATAAAATAAAAAACATCGGTAAGGACCAGATCATTTACAGATTCTTGATGAATGTTTTATGTGAGTAAATAACCTTAGGAAGTGATTCTAGGTAGCTTTCAGGAATCTCCATTTCAGACAGAACTTGAGCATTTATTGCCATTGCAGCTTTAAGGACTTGGTTAACACATTCCTTTTGGCTCTGCAGAAACCTTCTTGTTATCTCTGAGAGGCCATTAGGTGGGACTTTAACCGCAGGTAACCACCATTTATCATCGTTTCTTGTCTCGCAAGAATCAGGAGAATCCTTTTTTACATAATAAAACTCATTTTGATCTTTGAATTTATCAAGACAATCCTGAAAACAAACAAAAAACAAATGTCAAGTTTCAAGGAAATGAATAGAAAATGAGAGATTATATTTTAGTAATTTGTGTTGTTGTTGTTGTTCTTACAAGGAGCATTGCATCTAGTTTCTTAAGTGCAGGAATGTTGCAGAGAAGATCTGTTCTCTGTCTCGTTGACATGACTTCCATTGAAGTTCCATCTTTGTTTGTTTGTTGCGTTGGAGCGAACTCAACTATATGATCAGCCACAGAGATAAGCCATCCAATTTCTCTTCTCCACCGTGCTTTTCTATCAGCCGCCATTGGCTCTAAACGCCTCTGTTCTCCAAACGCAGACGCTGCTAGATTGGTAATGGCGTTAGATAAAGCCAAAGCTGAAGAAACGCCTTTTCCTCCTCCAGACATGTCTTCTCCAAGAAGCAGTTTCGAAAACTTTTCTTTCATCTGATCCATTGCTGTAATAACATAAGCAGAAAGTTTGTTTTATTTACCCTAACTTGGCGCCCAAGAACAATTTCACCCTAACTTGTAACCCAAGAAAGTAGAAGATATGAATCAATTCATTAGATATTCACCTGCTTGTAGTGCCTCCATGGATTCTAATGAAACCATCCTCGGAGCGGCGAGTTTGTCGTTGCGGTTGGGCGTTGAACCACCGCTTAAAGGCAATGACGGCCGGTCAACGCTACTGGCTTTCCCGGGTTGACTTCTGAACATCAGCACGTCATTGTCATCTTCATCTAAACTGTCTGTGCCGACGCAATCTGAGCTCCAGCTTTTAACATGTCTTTTTGAAGATAAGTGTTCGCTCATGTTCTTGAAATGAAACAATCTTGATTTGTAACTCTCTTGTTCTTGCGCCATTGCTTTGACCCTTCCTAATCAAACTAATAAAAAAATAATGAGAAGAATTCTGTATTTTGAATTTTCTTTTTTTTTTAAATCTCTTTTGTTTTCTTAATCCTGTAATAAAGAGGATTTTGAGGAGATTATGGAGAGAAAAAACAAACTTAAACTAACCAAAAACGGTGTTTTGATTTTTCAGACTTAGCAAATACAGAACACCATTGTTTGCTTCCTGTTAATGGTTTTTATTTTTTTCTAAATATCTGATTTATTTTAGTAACTATTATGATTCGTTGTCCATAACCATAAACAAGTGAATCTGGTCAGATTCTTCAGGAAAAATTATATTTATTTATTCTTGGAATGTTTTTACTATTTATAAGTGACTACTTGGTGGAATGTGGGGTGCACGATATTTATAAATTTAATTTCTCAAATGTACTTTTCTAAAACCAATCTTAAATCATCAAGGAGGACATGTTACAAACCCTTATCTGTAACTATTATTATTTTTTCTCTTGTTGCATCGGAAAAGATAAAAAGCTCCTAAATCAAATTATGGATGATAATGTCATCCTGGAAGGCTTCTATTTTTAAAGGTTCCGAATAGTTTACTATAATATTAAGCGGAGTGGATGGGACATTGCCCACAAATTGTGCTAAAGATGATTAGCCAATTAAATAATCTACTGTTGGTGGAGATTTTGTATACATTTTAATAAAAGAGATGTTACAACGGATGTATGAAGATAGTGCTGAAACATAAACGAACAGATTAACTATGTCTATGTATAGAGAAATTTTATAATGGATGTTAAAGGTTTTTTCTAGATACAATACGCTTAAAACACAAACATAGGGTAATAGAAAAGTTTGTTTCAATTCAACGTAAAGGAAAAGTTTGCTACAACTCTCACCTATAAACAAAAGAGAGATCGGTTTACATAACCATATAATTAATAGACTCGGTTTACACTTAACTGGACTATACAATTTTGTATTTGAATCTAATACCCCTCCTCAAGATGGCATGTATATGCTGGAGAGAGCCATCTTGCACACATGAGTGAGGAATAGAATAGGGTATAAAGGCATAGTGAACAAGTCGGCAAGCTGTGTATCAGTCCAAACATGTAAAGTCTTGATCAAACCCTTCAATATCTTCTTACGAACAATGTGACAATCATTCTCCAAGTGTTTGGTTCTTTCATGAAAAATAGCATTATTAGTAATGTGTATTGCCGCTGTAGAATCACAAAAGAAAGTAACAACTTGATGTTGAGGAGCAAGAAATTCAGTAAGAAGTTTCACCAATCAAGCCACTTCTCTCACTGCAAACTCCATAGCTCGGTACTTAGATTCAGCAGAAGAATGTGAAACTGTATCTTGTTTCTTAGACTTCCAAGAAATAAGTGATGGTCCAAGAAACATGCAAAAACCCGAAGTAGATCTTCTTGTGTCAGGGCATGAAGACCAATCAGCATCTGTGAAGCACTTCAGAACAAAATCAGACTTCACTGAATATAACAACCCTTTACCAAACGTACTTTTCAAGTAATGAAGGACTTTGTAAGCAGCTTGAAGATGAGATTGTTTAGGAGCATAAGTAAACTGACAAAGACTATTAACTGCAAAGGTAATATCTGGACAAGTGATAGTGAGATACATCATCTTGCCAACAGTCTTCGATAAACAGTAGGATCAGGTAATGTAGGTTCATGACTATCTTGAACTAGCTTGATACTCGGATCCATTGGAATAGAAAATGGCTTGCAGGCCAAAAAACTTGGCTCTGATACCATAATAGAAAAGTTTGTTTCATTCAACATAAATAAAAAGTTTGTTACAACTCTCACTTATAAACAAAAGAGAGAGACCGGTTTACATAACTGTATAACTAATAGACTCAGTTTACACTTAACCGGACTATACAATTTTGTATTTGAATCTAATATAAGGTTTTCGAATGGTTAGATTGTAGATGTGTAAAGTATACATTGACTTGAAAATTTTAAGATTAAGGGCGATGCTATCGATTAAGAAACTCGTTAGAATTTCTCATAATTATAATATGAGTATTCTGAATATACTTTACATTTATGAATAAACTTTAAGAATAAACAAAAGTGAACCAATTGGAGAATGCACATGTTTGGGTCTTTAAAAAATCAGTCCGCGTTTCACCTTGTGTATCTTTTTTACTCTTTTTGCATTCTTTATCTAATTTTTCTATTTTTTTAAATCAACAAGTTGTTGGATAATTTCATTTTTAGTGTGTTTTTAAACGATTTTAGGTTAATTTAAAATTATGATATTACTTTGTTAAACCATTCTAGAATCTCATTTTAAACTATGAGATTTGTTCTGCCTTTTAACTATGAAACTCCATCCACACTATAAAAGAATTGAACCATTCTAAAATCTACAATTTATTTTTTTCTTCTGAATACTTTATGAAATAAAAATTCAATAATATTACATTTTAAAATGTTTTTTTAAAATTTACATTTAAATAACAATAAATTTGTCATTTAATACAAAACACTTTAAACTCCTAGTTAATACATCTCCTTAACGGTGAAAATGGTCTAATATGCTCAAAAAATTTAATCCAGTAAGAAAGGTTAAACTCAAAACGACTCCCATATAAAAAGAACTTTAACTTCGGAATTGGACGAATTAAGAAATTTCCGTTCCATGTTTACTGTGTTTTCATTGTCTTTTATTTACAAAATTTTTAATAGTCGACCGGATTTCCGTGCAAAAATTCATGGTTAGAGCCCTTGTCTAATATTTTAGATACGTTTAGTGACTATGGAGTTTGATGGTTTAAAAGGAGCTTATTCCGTTTATTTGGGAACTCTTCCTATCTATTGAAGCAAATTAGAAGAACTTCAAGAGATATATGAAGATCTTCTACATTAAATGAACTTTTGTGAATCACACAAACGCATGATAAAACCTGGAAACAGAATTATCCGCAACTTCATTAAAATCAATTTCCCATCTTGGGTCTATTTACAGACCTGGATTCAAACAAATCTATAAAGAGCAACAGAAGAAAAAAGATCTTCATAGGCTCTTCGAGCTTTTCTTTCACAGATAGAAAAAAAAAAAGATTATCTTAGGGTTTATTTTATTAAGGAGTAGAAGCGCCTTTGAAGATTAGGAACTTAAGTGTCTCCAGTTGAAAATAGATGAATGTCCCTTTAGAATGTGTGAAGAAACATCCAAAATTTGATCCCACCACACATT